TGTGTGTGTGTGTGTGTGTGTGTGTGTGTGTGTGTGTGTGTGTGTGTTTACCTGCACAAACACAGCGTCTGCGTGTCGCCTGACTGTCACTGCATGGAGACGCCCATCAGCTAAGTTCATGACTTTGCTGCTCAACACCTCGGCATCTCTGCTGCTGTGCAACTTGTACCTTATTTCCAGCTCACCTTTATGAATCATAAAATCACATATAAATTATTATTTAAGTTATCTTTATAAACGCAAAAAATGCAGAGAAACTGGAAATACATCTAAATAAGAAGGGAACAAAAAACCTTTAAAGAACCATCTTTAGTGTGACGGGGGTTCTGTTGATGCTGACAGAGCTTTGCTTGTGCGCAGAAAAAGAAAATCCTGGCAAACAAAAGCTTTTACCGTGTTTATTGATGAGCAGGATCAGGTACTCTCTGTGGAAAGAGTTGACGTAGAGCAGCAGAGTGGGACTTTGACTGGTCCTGAAGCTCAAAGAGATGTTTTCTTCTCTCAGTGTGATACCAGAGTCGATGGATGAGGGCATGGTGCTGCTGTTCCTGCTATGCTCATATGGGTCTTTGACGATATAGGTGATGGATGTTGTAGACTCAAAGCTGGCAGAAAATTCTGAAGGAAGAAAAAAAAAAATCAGAGTTATGGAGCTGACTGGAATCCTGCAAAAATGTGTTCACAAACTGTGATTGAGATCCACAAAGGCTTGCATTTGCATTTGTTCATCCCAGTGCAAGAGCATACATCACAAGAATACAAAATTTGAAATGTTTGCATGACATTTTCAATATCAAAATCCTGGAGGTTTGTATTTTTCAAATAACTGCAGCAGCTTGTGAGTTCTTTTCCTCACACCACTGAAATATTCTGATGATGCTACTGTATATCCATAAAGGAAAATAAACAATAAACAGATGGGTTTAATTACCTAGCATTTTTTTAGTTTACGTACTTTATTAACATTTTATCATCATTTTAATTATCCTCATTCTAATCGCTGCCATTCTTTAAGTTTTGAGATAATTCTGAATACCTAAATTTTGCAAACTGTAAACAGGTTAGTTCTGCAGTTTCAAGGTTTTCTTGTTCTCAAATGGCCAGTGACAAAATCCTGATTTTTTATTTATTTATTTATTTTGTCACAATATTATCTTTAAAAACATTTGACTGAGAAAAATTGGTAAATCAAAGTGCACAACATCACAAAGTTGCATTGCAATTTTTATAAGAGTGATTGTGATCTGGATGTTTTTCCTCTAAGAAGTTGTCGTTTCCTGTGATTACAATATGAAACTGGCAAACAAATATTTTATAGAGACTCTGGGTAGCATGCACAGCTGCAGCCGTCAAAATCCAATGTAATAAAATACAGTAACGTAGGCTATTATTTAAATAAAACTCAAATTAAGCTGATATGAGGGATGAAAATAAAAAAACTTTTGAGAAATAAATCAGGCTGGTGTAATACAGCAAGATAAAGAAAGCAGATGGAAGATACTTCACAGATATGGACTTCAAACTGAGTTCACACCAGTTCTTTCAAATGTTAAGTTGTGGTTCTTATTAAATATTGCTATTATTTATACTTTTTAATTTCCTAAATGCTATAAATATTTTATGCAAAATGTTTAATAAAACAGTTATAACTTTTTTACATTGTCATCCTTTCCTCCCACTGATGATATTCTGCAGCAGGATCACACATCCTGCCCATTAGTCACAAAGCATTATTGAATTTCATGCTGATTTAGTTCATAATTTCTTACTTGTCAGAGAGTTTAATTGTCAAGGCATCTGTGGGGACTAAAATATCAAGAGGCCACTGTAGACTTTCATTAATGAATTGTTTTCAAGTTTAAGATGATAATAGACCATGTTTTCCCCAAGGCTTCCAAAGCTGCAGTTTGTCATTTATCAATTAATAATCTGTCAGTCAGTCTGTAAAGTGCTGGATCTGGGAATTTCTAAGACATACATGTGAAGATGTGAAATATTCTCATCTTCAATTCAAAGTTTTTTTAAACCTCCAGCGAGCTGGTTTTAACAAGCTGTTTATGATTGATAATTATGTTAATGTCTGTCAGTGAAACGTACATTTATTTGTATTTACTGGCAGAAAGTGTCAAAGTCTGCACCTGTTTGACAGAAGACCCCAGTAAAGGCAGACTGGCTGCAGTCACAGGAGAACCCATTAGTTTTTTCCACACAAATCCCATGGTTTTGGCAGAGCTTGCCGTAGCTGCTACAATGGCCCGGGCATCCAGGTCGGACTCCAGGCGTTATCTTCGCCCTCTCCTCCAGGTCCAGAGTGACCCCGTTCAGCTGCAAGGAGCGGATGCAACCCAAAAAACCTTTCTGTCTTGAAGCAGTGCCTCCTGCCAAGATAAAAACCGGAAGATGCATTAGTTGGTCTCTATATGACACTCAGCGCTGCTACATTTGACGAATGCCAACTGAACCCATCCTAACAGTGTTTATAGACAGTCAGTTCATTAAAATGAGGCACCCAAAATCCACACACTGACAGTCCCACTCTCATATTGTCCCTGAATAACTTAAAATGTTAACGTTTATCTGTTTTCCTACAATAAAATATGAAGATTTTCACATTGGAACAGCAGCTCAGCATGACCATGCCTGCTCTGTAGGATACAGATAATGAAAAGACAATATTCAGTATGGCTGTTGATTAGCTGACTGCTTGGCTGATGGAACATCTGGAGTCTGATAGAAGATTTTTTACAGTGACAGGTGAGAAGAAATTCTCTCTATTTCACATGACGATTACCATTTAAGTATAGCAGCCCGACAAAGGATTTGGCAAATTCACGTGTTCTGAGTGCAAGCTGATAGGTTGTTTAAAAAAAAGTCTATGCATCAAATTTATTTATTCTTTTTGCAAACAGGAGTTGGGTGTTACTCTTACAGTCTGAAATTGGAACAAAGATTAAATGTTGAGCCAGAGTTGCTCTTCTTCATACAACATCACTAATCTCTGTGGTATTTCCATTTTTGTCCATGTAAAACAATATAAAAAAGTCAACTCGTTATCTGTTCACGTATTCAATATTAGTTAATTTATTTAGGCACTAGTTCAAAAGATTAATTAATAAACATTTGCCAAAATTACAATAAAAAAAAGCATGACAGAGAATTTCTTTGTAAAACTACTGATTGTCACTGTCAGCGAGAAATGAAACTATACTTTGGATTAAAAAAAATAAAAAAATCCTCACAACTAAATGACAACTAAATTACAGATACAAGTGACAGAGCCAGAATAATTCAAGGAAAAAACCCTGCATGACTTTTTTTTAAAATTTTTTTTTATGCCTTTCAAGCATTTTTACTTTTCCACTACATGGTGTGAAAGCACAAACCAATTACAGCCCCTCTCCTAACAAGTGCAACAATACCTGGAAAGCAAAGGCTTTGGTATTTGGGCTCATGTACAGAGGGCAGGATGAGGCGTAATGCAGGTGAAAATGGAAGGTGCCTCTAAAAATGTCACAAAAGACAAGATTTATTTTATTGTGCAATCGACACATTTTGCATTTGAGAAACCAAATCTTGTTTTTTTTTTAAACGATACAAAACAATAGTTCATAATTATTTCCAAAAACATTTCAGATTAATATTATAATCCACACACATCCAACTGTGTTTTAAGGTTTGATCATTATAATTGTGATTGTTTTCCAGAGGTAGCATTTGAGCTGCTGGTGAAAACTCTTAATTAGACTCGCATCTTTCACAGCCGAGTTCAGAGTCGTTTCTTTATTAGCGAGGTGTTGCCCTTTAACAGTTGCTAGCACATGAGCTTCTTTGCTGCTGCTGTCAATTTAGATCCAACATTTCTCTTCATTATCCCAGAGTTACACTACATAACACATGCACAACACGCATGCATGAACTTGCTCAACCAACAGTATGTAAACAGATTTTACTTTGCAGAGTATAGAATAATCTGTTCAAATAGGTGCATGCTTAACAACAAAAAATAAGCAGGTAATTTACAGCTCATACAAGAATGTGTGCTATGGTGCATGCATGAAATTAATTTCTTCCCAGGGGTACAAATTATGTTGAAGCAGAATGACTTGCTGTTAGAAATTCACCTGAGGCAATTTCACAAATTACTGGAACAAACTACGATTTACTCAATTTAAAATTAACTTTATAAAAGTGTGACAAGCGGTTTATTGCAGGATAAATGTCTTTGCAGCAAAGCAAAGTATAATTTTACAGAATAAATGCTGCAAATCTAATGATTAATTTTACAGGAAAATAAATGAAATTATGAAAGCGATGTTTTCTTGGAATAAAGTTTTTAATATATAAAAAAAAAGATATTTTGCATTCAAACATCCATGTGTTGCCAGTAAACACCACTTGGACAGTCCTGCTCATACCAGAGAAATTAATATTAAATAGTTCCTTTTTGCTTTCATGTAAAGATTATCAGCTTAAAGTTTCCAGTCAGTCAGTCCGACATATTTTCAGTCTCATCATTATTCACAGTTTTATTCAAAATGTGGGCACGCCAGAAAACAAATGCTGTTTGAGAGTTTTAGGAAGTCAAAATTTCAGGAGAAATTGTAAAAAAAAGAAAAAAAAAACTTTACATGAGCTTTAATAATTTGATTTTTAAATGTGCTTTTATTTTGGGCAATAGCTTCTTAAAATAAAAGATTCAACTTGCTTGAGATTCTGTTGCAGCGGTGGCTTTGTTGCTTTTTTATCTTTTTATTGTGCGGATATTGTTACTGGTATATTATAACTACATGTGACAAAATATCCTGATGCATGCTCAATAATCCAGGTAGAAACATCTAAAAAAGTTAAATCTGGTCCTCTGGACATTCAAAAAAAACAAAACAAAGCAAAACAACAAAAAATGTAGAAACGTTTCGTCTCTCATTTGAGAGACTTCCTCAGTCTGAGGTGCTGTATTCAGCTCAGTCTCTTAAATAGCACCTTCTCAGAGTGGATCAACCAGTTTGCTGCTGACAACCAAAACCAGCTGATCACATGTTCAAGAAGGACAATCAGCCTAACAATGGATCATTAGCACACCGATGGCTGTTTACTATTCACAGGGGGTTGAGTGATACTAGCAATCACAGCATTGTAAGAGGGGGACAGTTGAACACAGAGGCCTCCACCCCTGTTTAACGATGGACGATTTCTTTTCAAAAAGATGGCCTCCTTTACTCCTCTCTCAAACCATCGTTCCTCTCTGTCCAGGATGTGAACATCTTCATCCCTGAAAGAGTGACCGCTGGCCTGGAGATGAGTGTAGACCGCAGAGTCCTGGCCTGATGATGTTGATCTTCTGTGCTGGGCCATCCTTTTGGCCAGTGGCTGTTTAGTTTCCCCGATGTAAGACTGATCACCCTCCTGACACTGAACAACATACACAACATTACTCTGTTTGTGGCGGGGGACTGGATCTTTGGGATGAACCAATCTTTGCCGTAATGTATTTTGGGGTTTAAAAGCCACTGGGACGTTATGTTTAGAAAATAAACGTCTCAGTTTCTCTGATACTCCCTCAACATATGGAATGACCACTGGTCTGGGTCTGGGTTCCTCCTTTTCACCTGATGGCTGACTGGAGTCCTGTTTGGGTTTCTTCTCTGCTTTCAGGAAGGCCCAGTTAGGATATCCACATTGCTCTAGAGCCTGTCTTGTGTGGGATTTCTCCTTCTGCCTGGCTCCTGAGTTAGTGGGGATACTGTCTGCTCTGTGGTACAGAGTCCTGATGACTCCTAACTTGTGCTCCAAAGGGTGATGGGAGTTAAACTGCAAATACTGGTCTGTGTGGGTGGGTTTGCGGTACACCTCGATTTGTAAATGTCCTCTATCAGAGACTGAGACCTCACAGTCCAGAAAAGCCAACCTGCCATTTTTTTACATCTTCTCGTGTGATCTTGATGCATTTATCCACAGAGTTGATGTGGTCAGTAAAATGTTGGACATCCTGAGATTTAATTTTAACCCAGGTGTTGTCAACATACCTGAACCAATGACTTGGTGGTGTCCCTGAAAATCAAGGCTCTTTTCTACCTCCTCCATGTACAGGTTGGCAACAATAGGAGAAACTGGAGACCCCATAGCACACCCATGTTTCTGCCTATAATATTGCTCCCCATATGTGAAGTAGGTTGACTGCAGGCACAGTTTCAAGAGTTGACACAGTTGTTCTGTGGAAAGCGTGGTCCTGCTGCTCAGAGTGGTGTCTGATTTTAATCTTAAACTGACCACCTCTACTGCATCATCAACAGGAATGCACGTAAAGAGTGATGTGACATCAAAAGAGACCATTGTTTCATCAGTCTCCATGATGACATCCCTCACCTTATCCACAAAGTCCATGGTGTTCTGTATGTGGTGTTCTGAGCTGCCAACTAAAGGGATGAGCACAGACGCCAGATATTTGGAAATATTGTAAGTGACCGAGTTAATCATACTAACAATAGGTCTTAAAGGTACACCTTGTTTGTGGATTTAGGTAAACCATACAGACTAGGTGTGGCCTCCCCTGGGTACAGTCTGTGGTACAGAAAACGGTCAATAGCCTTGTCCTGTTCCAAAATTTACAGGCAATCTATTAACTTCTTCTTGTAACCACTTCCTGGATCTCTTTTCAGAGGTTCATAAGTGGTTAAGTCACTAAGGAGTGTCATAACTTTCTCATGATAGTCTTTCTGGTTCAAAATTGCTGCTCACCAATAACTTGGTGGTGTCCCTGAAAAGGACATCAAGGCTCTCTTTTCTACCTCCTCCATGTACAGGATGGCTGTGATCCATCTTACATCGGGGAAACTAAACAGCCACTGGCCAAAAGAATGGCCCAGCACAGAAGATCAACATCATCAGGCCAGGACTCTGCAGTCTACACTCATCTCCAGGCCAGAGGTCACTCTTTCAGGGATGAAGATGTTCACATCCTTGACAGAGAGGAACGATGGTTTGAGAGAGGAGTAAAGGAGGCCATCTTTGTGAAAAGAAATCGTCCATCGTTAAACAGGGGTGGAGGCCTCCGGGTTCAACTGTCCCCCTCTTACAATGCTGTGATTGCTAGTATCACTCAACCCTCTGTGAATAGTAAACAGCCATCAGTGTGCTAATGATCCATTGTTAGGCTGATGGTCCTTCTTGACCATGTGAGCAGCTGGTTTTGGTTGTCAGCAGCAAAACTGGTTGATCCACTGAGAAGGTGCTATTTATAAGACTGAGCTGAATACAGCACCTCAGACTGAGGAAGTCTTTCGGATAAATACGAAACTTTTCTACATTTTTGTTGTTTTGCTTTTTTTTTTTTTTTTTTTTTTTAATGTCCAGAGGACCAGATTTAACTCTTTTAGATACATGTGACAAAGCCTTAAAAAGTTTTTAACTTTGTTATTCTATATTATTGTGGAAGTTGCAACTATTTTTCCTTGGGAAAAACAAACAAAACAGTTTGTCATGTCCAAATTGCTTCAATGAGTCACTAAATAACGCTGACATTACATTACTATACACAAGTGTTTTAGTTAAACAGGCATACACGTTTTGAGACCCATTTAATAACAAATGTATTTTAACCTTATTCTTACAAAAAAAGATTTGAGCAAACCGTTTTTTAAGCCATGACACTGAAGCTGTGGAAAATGGTCTTTTGTACTCTGTACAGTAGTCCTTCGTTTACCGCGGGAGCTTCCCCCTGCACTTGTGGGCTGCACACATGGTGCAAAAAATCATTTAAAATTAATTATTTTAAATAAACAACCCATGACTCATCCATCAATCACCCAACTGTGTCATGTCCAATCTTCGAAAAACCTCGATAAAGCGAATACGCAAAAAACAAACCGCGGAATAGTGAGGGACTACTGTATTTTAAAGATTTGTCTTCGTCTGCCCTGTCCAGGGTGTCCCCCACCTCTCGCACAGTGACTTCTGGTAATGGGCACCAGTGACCCCAGCAACCCGAAAATAAAGAAGCAGGTAAAAGATAGTGGATGGATAGAATTAGTGGAAGAAACTCAAAACACAGTTGGGACTTGTTTTATATTTGAGAATAAAAATAAACACCATAGATATATATATATATTATATTATATTATATATATTATACATTATTAGAAAAACTACTGGATGCCACATTGACTTTTGCAAAGTATTTTTGAAGAACCTTAAATCTCATCAAGATAGTTGTGGTTAAAATGTTGCTTCATTCTCTGCGGTTTTGAAAAGAAAATGTTTTAAACTGTTAAAGGGGTTATATTAAACAACAAGTACAGGTTTCATTAAGGGAGCCAGTCTGGAAGTTGTAGTAATTATGGTGGGTTGAAAACGTAAAAATAATCTTCGATATTTGTTTAGTTGCCCTCCAATCTCTTTATTTTGCTCCAGCTCTTCCAAATTGAAATAGCTAAAGAAGTTTTACCACAAAGAATAGAAAATTATTCCAGTGGGTAGATTTTTATTAATACAAGGTATTTTACTTTAATAACCTAAAATGTAATATTAAAAAAATTTTCAACCTACTGATGCTTTTAGTTGCCTTCAGGCTGTCAGGGCATTTAAAAAGATTCAAACGTTTAATTCTTACCTATAAATAACTGACTGTTGAGCTGTAGATGAATTAGTCCATCAGCAGGAGCTTCCTGCGTGGTAGCGGGGAATTCATCCACACGTAGCGACGCCTCCTTCACATTTCGCTCAGCTCGCACACCGTGCCACTCGTTGTCGTTCAGCGGGCCACTTGTTTTAACTTTTACTTCTCGAGGTCCATTTCCCACATCAAACGAGAAGACAACCTCTGTAGAAGCTGACAAAAATTAATGTTATATACATACAATAATAATTTGTACAGCAAACGAAACAGCTGGATGCTCGAGTTAATGCCACACCAGCTGAGAGTTTAAACTGTTCTTCACATAAAAAGACAACCGATATTGTAATCGTGAATCCTACAACCAGGAAAAAACTTTACCTCATTTATCTGGCTTTTTCAAGAAATTAAATGCAGAAGATGTTTATTATGATGGCATGGAAAGATAAAACAATAAAATGCATTCTGTATATGGAAAAAATCAATGCCAAATAATAAAGAGGCGTTTACTTAAAGACACACATTGTTTTCCAGCTGGATTTATGACTATATTACTGTTTTATTTAAAATGCTAATCATTATTAATATTATTCTTATTTCCGCTTATTTTATTTTTAGGATTTGTTCCGCCAGTCTGGTGCCAGATTGTGTTATTTTTATTAAAATAATTAGTCAGTTGTATTCTCCATCATCGTATGTTGGCAGCACTGACTTCCTCCCACAGACCCATCTGTTGGCAGCATGGACAAACAGCTGGACACGGATCTGTGAGCATTTTAAACAAGCCCAGGGCAGGAAGGACAGACTGCAGCTGCAGACTCATTTATCTGTTGTTTTTGTGTGTGTGCATGAGTCTTTGTGTGTACACTCTGTGCCTAAATGCATGGGTTTAACTGAGTACAAGTCCAGGGGCCCACGGCGCACAGATGCATGTTTGTTGCTGCTGATTGATTCAAATTAAAAAAGTGACCCTCGTGTCTCACTGGCCAATGGTCCAAGAACTGACCAATCAGAATGGCTAGTTTTGGGGCTTGTCCCCGATGACTGACAGGCAGCTACTAACATGTCAGAGGAAAACGTTTGAGTGGTCCAACAATGTTCAGTCAAGTCATCTGGACATTTTTTTTGTTGAGACGTTTCGCCCTCCATTCGAAGGGCTTCATCAATCTGAGTTACTACATCCAAACTCTTTTCCCCACCAAGCAGTACACTGCTACAGTGGACCAACCAGTTTTCTGGTGATAAGATGGTTTCTGGGGGCCGTCCTCTCCCCTGTTTGAGAGTGGTGCTCATGAAAAAGAACACGTCAGAACAAGCTTTAAGAATTACTGGAGACGGGACCAAAGTTGGCAAAATCTTTTAAACCAGCTGCCAGAGGAGCTGAATCCACAGAAGACTGTTTGCCAGCTCCCCCACCTCCTGAGGAAGAGGAGGCGGCGGCACGGTCCATGCAGGTGGATGCAATATTAGCTGAAGAGGAGCGGAGGAAAAAAGAGGCGCCCAGGAGAAAGCGACAAGCCTGAGACTGTTAGAACAGTGACCCAGGCCGCTGGGCATCATCATCGACGTACAGGTGTTGTGCCAAACACTGATCAACCACTGAGGGAGCGTGCAGCCTTTAAGTGTTTGTCTGGGTTTGACCATTTGCCATTAGTTTGAAGTCAAGGTTAGTGGGGGGCCAACAAGACCACTTAGCCCCGGGTCCAACCAGCAGGTTAAGGGGGCCCTGTGTACACATATACTTAAGTTGATAAAGTCAGTTCAGAACACTTTTGTTTGATCAAACAGATGTTTACTTTCAGACATGTTCAATGCTTCGTCAAGCATCATTTGGAAATGGATCCAACGATTTCCATATTCAGTGAGACATCTGTGATCTCACTGCGGAGCAATAATTGCACTATTCTAATGACTCTAAGCAAGTTTTATGGTAAGTTTTGAGAGACAGAAATAAATAGACTTACTTCATAATGTGAATTTGCTGGATTTTCTCAAACATACTGGCTTTCCCCTGTTGGATATTTCTTATCTAGACTGGTCCTATGGTTTTGATCTGCTCAGAGACGGGATTATAATGAAATTATGACCCGGTTCTGACTGGGTTAAGCTGGGCCAGCAGCTCTAAGAGAGTCTCCCTGGGATTTCAATATCAGTCAAGGAATAGTTTAATCTGCTTGCCACATCACGTAGGAAGGCTTTTGAAGCACCGTCTCATATTTCCTAACACATCAGAACCACATAAGATCCATTGAGATCACACTTCGTCACGCCCCCTCATACACTGACAGGTTGAGCTTCCCTTCTGCGAAGGAGGAGACCAGGACCCTATAAATGAGTAATGACACGGGACATCGGGGCTCTTCCGGGTCTGTGAACGTGTCACAGACCGGAGAGTCCAGCGCTGTAAATTGTAACCTTTTCCTGCCTTTTTTTAATATAATTGATAAAACTTAATTGATGTTTCCTTGATTTATTGATATTGTGAGTTGCCACTTCTGAGGGAGATTCGAGCCGGGGGGAAAGAGGTGGTTTCTGGGTCTGATGACCCGCAGCCAGCTCCCGTCTTTAACACCCCATTACAAAAAAAAGGTGTTATTTATTTATTTATTTATTTATTTATTCATTTATTTTAACAGTTCAATACAAAACTCATTCTAAAAAAGACAAGCTTTAGAAATATGAAAACACAGGACTGCACTGTCAGATATATTTGCCAAGCATTTGTTGATAAAAAATAATTATTGCTTCAGGCATGTTGATTGATGTTCACACTTTGGTTAAACTGAACACCTAACATACACTGATCAGCTGGTGCAGCTCTGCAACTGGAGAAGATTATTAATTTGGTACAACTGCAACAAAAATGCAGAAGATGTGCTGCTGACGTTGCTCTAAAAGTATTCCATGTATCCGGAGTAGAAAGACCTGTTCTCTCTGTGTTTTGCTTTGTCTGCATGTTACCTGGACTGCAGTGCTAACTCCAGACAAACTTTTTATCCATTTATTTAAAGCTTACTCATGTGGCCAGGTTTAAAAGTTTAAATCCTCATTCCTTCATCATTTTTGCCAATGCCCCAAATTCCCATTTGGATGCAACCACATATATAGCACTAATGCTGTTGCTTTTCTGTTTTACTAGGCCAGCTTTGACATTTTATAGTTTAAAAACACTTTGTAATGATTTATGAGCATGTTGTAGCTATTAATTTTAACACCACCTACTAATCATTACTACGCGAAAAAATAAAATATAAAAAGTGAGGTGAGCTGAAGGCCACATAAAAGACAATTCATTAATTCTAACACTGCCTGCTTGGCTACATATCATGGGAAGAAGTTTGTTGTGATACCGGCATCCATCTATCCATCCAATAACTGACTCAGTTGAAAAAAAAAAAAAAAAAAAACCCCACCACAACCTCATTAAGAAACTTCTTCCTAGCTTCTGTCATGTTAGGAGTAATAATTATCCAGAAACATCTCCTCCAGTTATCACAAGAATAACAATGATAAAAAATATGTGTCCTGCTCTAAAAATGACAAGATCCCCTGAAGCAGGAGGAGCAGTACTTTAAAGACTGTGAACATTGTGAACATGTATGACAGCTGTGTGTGAATGTGATTAATTTATTAAGAGAGACATAAATATGTTGAGATGTTATTACGCAGATGAAAATAAAATAGTTAAAACACAACCTAGCAGTGCGTGCAGTTTGTACTCGCAATAGAGTCAATAAACTATGTACTGTACATTTTCTGAACTTTTACCCTTATTTATTATAGAAAATAAAAAAATATATACAGTAGTCCCTTGCTACTTTGCGGTCTTACTCTTTCGCTGTTTGTCAACAACTGTCAACTTTAATATTACTTACATGATTGGGAAAGTACAGGATAAAAAGTTAAACGAAAAAAAACTTTGGACAGGTGCTGCCATTTTGTAGTTTTCTTCAATAAGTCTATACTGTAATGCCATTCAGAAGAACTACATTACCCAGAAGCCAACAGTGCTTCCAACCACTGCTTTCTGCCGAAATGAAGGGAAAGTTTTTGCAATGCAAATCTGTGCTATCTATTAAGCTCACAGAACCGGCAGGAAAGTTGCAGATATTCCTGAAGTTTCCTGAAGCTCAATTATCCATGCGCACATCAACCTGGACGGGGCAGTGGGCTTCGTCGCTGCAGGGTAGGTCTGCAGAACCGAAACCGAGCTGCTGTTCTGCAGAGCAGTTGAGTAAAATGTTACAGTACTGTACAGTATAGGAATGCACTGATCCACTTTTTTTTATTTTAATTTTTTTTTTTTTTACTTCCGCTCCAGATACCTAAATCTGGATATCTGCCAATACAGATAATGTTCCAATACCATCATCCTTGATTTTATATGAGACTGTAAAAACGCTTTACAGGCAAGTACGATTTGTACAAATATATGCATGCATGTTCAAAAAGGCAACTTGAGGTAAGTAAAAGGTCAGAAAAGGAAGTCAGAATCTTGATCAGAAATGTACTTGGTCATGAAGCACGGTGAAGTTCAGCAACTTCTCAGTAATCCCCTTTAGCTTTCACGTTGTCCAGTGGAAGTTTACCTTGCTGTTGGAACAACTACAGAAGTGATTTCTGCCTTTAGTCTTTCTCCCACCTGGCTAAACAATCCTCGTGCTCTTTAATGTAGTGCTTTATCAGATGTTTAAGTTTGTTGTGTTGTAGGTCATGATGGAGCTTCTTCCTCAGTACAGCAGCTTTGAAAACATTGCACGTTGCCGACTTGCTTGCGGTGTTTCTAGTGTAAAATATTTCAACACAGCGGACATGTTGTGATGAAAGGTTGGGTAGCCTTAAGCCAGTGCTGCTCAATCCTCCCTCAATGCTCATGGTTTATCTAGCTGCAAACTATGAAGTGAATATCCTGAATGTGAGGCAAGTCTTATTACTCTGGATTTCATGAGACATGCCTCCGTTCAGGAAATCTATTCCATAGTTTGAAGCCAACTTGCAGAGCCACCCACCGAGGATCACATGGAGATATTTCAGCAGACACAGACTTGCATCATGGATCGGAAATCTCTGCAGGTTAGATCGGAATATTCAGATACGCAAATTATGCTGGTGTTGGAACCCAATAGAAATACTGGATCAGCCCCATTCCTAGTACATACTGTATATGTATGTTGTTAAAAATGACATAGGTTTAAGAGTTTAGAACATGACATAGGTTTAAGAGTTTAGAACATTGCAAGAGTGTGGGAAGGGTTTTTAAAACCTTAAAATATATATAAATGCTAAAGTAAATATAGTGTCCCTACTTCGCGGTTTTCCACCTATTGCAGTTTTGTGTACAACGTCACCCCCGTGATAAACAAGGGACTACTGTAATATCTTATTTTAGAGTTCCCAAGTTTTTCAGTGTGTTGTATAGTTTTTGTTCTTCTAAAATATTAGCAGCAGGGAACAATTGGACTTAAGCTGCCCAAAAGGCCATGTCCACATTTTTTTTTTTATTGTTGCTTACTGACAAAAGCATATTTTCCTAATACTTGTCTATCAGCTACAAAACCGCAACGAAGCATTACCTTAAATTTTTGAATGGTAAACTGTTCAATTAAAACTAAATAGACCTTTTCCACGTGGGACTTTACAAACCAGGAGCTAAATTAATGTGTTTGTGAATAAATATGACAAAAGTTTGACTTTGGGGTTCCCTGCAAAAATACATCTGGTAGATATCTTCACCACTTGCTCTTGCCGAGATCGGGCACTTCTCCCTTCCCCTCCCTCTCCGCTTTGCTTTGCTGCTCTGTCTGTGAAACTGCTTCTGAGCCTCTCTACATATCTTTCAAACCATAATTATGGACTTGTTTTCATCAGTTGGTCCCTCAACACAATTGATAACATTTCTTCAAAGAGAAGACAGGCTTTAGGTGAACCGATCTGCCCTGGTGGCACGCATGCAGCTGGACATCTCATCGACTTGGAAGACTTTGATGATGTGTTTATCTCTGCTGCCATTTGTGGATTTTAAGGACGCACATTTAATTGGATTTACGAAAACTGGTTCCTGCTTTTTGGATTCGGCTGGTTGCTGGTTTTATCAACAATGAAGGAAGTCGTCTGCAGCAAATTTGGACCCGATCATGCTGCTTGCCTTTATGATGGCTTGGTTCGTGCCTCGAGTACCCAGACTCAAATGCTTTGGGCAGAATGGATCAGATCTAGGGGATTTTATTCAGTCACGTTCCATCTGTGTTGCCATGTAATTTTGGACATTTTGGACCGAGTGGACCAACACAGACTCAAGGTAGATGTCAATAAGTTCTGCCTGTCCCCAAAACAACTGTGTGTTTATCTGAATTTGGCTCCCTTGGCTGGCCTTGAAGGCCATCTTATATGAATTCATCTGGAGAACATGTGATCTGACGCTCACCCCCCCCCCCCCCCCCTCCCTGAGTAGTTTCAAACAGATAACCAGATGAAACCAGATGAATAAACATTGTGTCATCATTTCAGGACTCTTGGATTCTTAGACGTCATTCTTGGCCATTCCCCAACATAGCTCGAGAATGTTTACGGATCTCACCGGAGGACACTGGCTGAATATTACATCCTTATCAGAGCACTTACAGTGCCCTCGAGAGCGTCTATGGACATGCTCAGAGCTCTCGTCGTCTCCCCCACCCCCCGCAGAATGTCTACGTCACTATGTGCTTGTTTGTGTGAGGTGTTTTTTAATATCAGAGTTTTTCTTCTCAGGCTGGAAAAAAAAAAGTCTGATAGGATTTATTTTTTGCCTCCAATTCCTACATATGTCCAGTTTCACTACTTTTGTCTGTTTAAACAGATCTCACTTGTAAACGAGTCTTCTAGGCTCAATGTGACTTATCTGTCTAAATAAAGTTTGAATCAATATACTGTGAAAATGTTGATTTTCTTCTAAAAAGAATCGTAGGACATTGCTGAAGAGTGAAGTATTTTTTTCTAACTTTAGATTGTAAATTAGACTAAAGTATGATACAGACCTGCTTTAATGTAAAATTCACAACTAGATAAAGGCAAGCAGAGAGACATTTTCAACATTTGTGCTCTGCAAAGTCCGCCTCAAACATTCAGGTGAAAACATTTACTTTGTTGCAGCTTTACACGATGTTTAAAGGAAAAAAGTCAAAATGCCTTTTTAAACCCATGATGCAGAACATTGTTAGGGTGTCACTTACAGCTGAGTTCTATTCGTATGAAGTCCTTGATGCCAAGATTTTCAAGGAAGACTCCGGAGGAGAATGTTGTTTTAAACAGAAAAGAGATGTCTGCATTCAGCTCGCCATGAAAAGTAGGAAAGTGAAGGTAGGACGTTTCCTTGTCAAAAAATGCAGCGTTCCAGAAGTTCTCTGCAAAAAAAAAAAAAAAAAAAAGTTTCAGAAAATGTTTGCATGTTTTTTTTTCTTTTCAGTCTCGAACAGAAGTCGTAAAACTTTTCTCCTCTTTTCAGAAGCCACATATCTCACTCTGGAACAAAGCTCATTAAAGAAAACTCATTATGACGGCTGTGTAATGAAAACCATGTAGTAAACAAATGAACCAACTGTTCAGCTAATTAGGTAAGAACAAAGGCAAAACACCAGCTACGCTTTCTCATTTATATTGATTTATCTTTGAGCATTTATTTATCTAATCATAAAACTTAACACAGAAATTATAGGCAATTAAAAAAAAAAGACAAATATGCCACATTAATTTATTTTGCATTTTCCATTAGCGGTTGTTATTTAAGCACAAAGAGAGTCATATATTTTAGCTAGGAGTCTGCTAATTAGCTAACGTAATTAGCTGCCATCCAATTTTCCATTAACAAGTTAAATGGCAAAAAGGAGATAGGTGAAAAGGCTTGAATAAAACCTACGTCTTGACTTATACTCTATTAAATCATCTTCGCTATGTGTAATGATGTCAACACTGTCAACATTTGGCATCAGCACTGTTAAAAATAAAAATAAAAAACCAGCTACCAGCTAAAATAGACTTACTGTCTCCATGACAGCGCAGTGGTCCCACCTTGTAGGCAGCCTCTGATCTAGAACGCTGGATGTCACCCAAAACCAGAGACCTGACAGGAAGGCTCTCCTTATGGGTGAGCAGGCCTGAGTCATCGGTCCTAACGTAAAGAGTTGAAAGAGGGGAAAAAGAAACTGATTAGCTCAACAGCATGAGTAGATTATTAGAAGTGTGATAATTGTGCCTATTTAAACTCAAACAAGAGAGAAGTTAAACATGTAAGAATTAGAATGCAAACAATTGCAGACATTATTAAAAATATATATTAGCTGAGTTTTTAAACAACACTTTCTGAATCTGCTTTCTTAACAAGCTTGGCTTGATTGTTTTATTTGGGGCATTCACCAAACAAATTATGCTCTTTCAGATCCTTGTGGTCTGTGTGCAGAAAAATACTGTACAAAATGATTCAGGTGAATCTGATGGAATATTAACAGCCTACAAATGAGATGTAGATGTCAGGAGAAAGATCTGAGATAAAGATGTGCAGATTCAGGGAGGACCAAAAATTAAAAATATACAAAGACAGAGAGGGTTTGGGGCAGCAAGCCTGATTTCAATATGAGAAAATGGGCGTAGCTGCAGAACTGGACTGAGGAAATGTGTGAAGTTCGAAATGGAAACATTTAAATAAAGTTTGATGAAGGATGCTCACATTCAGCTATTGAGATTTGTCACAAGCCCCATGGCCAGAAACAAAAGACTTGGTTACTCTTGTTTTCAAGCCAATCAAGCATTTATGTCTAAGATAAATGTGAATTATTTAGTCCTATTGGACAAGGTTTATTAAACAATAAAACAATTTTATGACAACATTTAAACATTCATAATGTAAACAAAGCATTTATCTTAGATATTACACACTTGCTTTTAACGTCCATCTTGAGTTCTGATACGCATAATACTTTCAAGCCAACTTACTTAAAAAAAATAATAATTGTAAAGGAGAAGGAGGCGCTCCATAAGATTATGGTTATATAAGAATGAAGAAAAAAAAGGGAGGAACCTCTTCACATATCTTAAACTGCTTATTATTTATTCTTACTAGAATGGAACAAGAACAAAGCCTGGTTTCTTTTTAGCACTGTCACCATGCTGACCAAAATTGATAACATTATTAAAAAATATGTATTAGGGGAGTGGCGGTGCAGAGGTTAGAGAAGATGGGCCTGTGATCGGAAAGTCGCAGGTTCAACTCCCGGTACAGTCAACATCAAAATGTGGGTGGAAAAGGTGAAACGCCCACACCTGCCTCCACCCTCATTCGCCCCACTCTGGGCCCCTGAGCAAGGCCCTTAACCCCCACCATGTGCTCCCTAAACAGGTCTCTTTTGAAAATGAGTTCTTGTGGCTCAATGAGACTAACCTGTATAAATAAAAGGGTAAATGAAAATATATAAAACAACAACAACACCTCCTCTGTTGGGCTGTTCCTTTCACTTTCAGCAATGACTTCATCAGATTCTTCACAAAGGAAATTGCTTCTATAATGAGACAGTTCAAATTACTTTGACCTTTTTCCCCTCGTGCTTCTGAGATAGCTTTACGAACAGGTAAATTTGGGCTTAGACTTTCTTCATTGTGGGATTATATGAGACAAACAAACAAACAAGTAAGCACTATCAGGGCAGCACGGTGGAACAGGTGGTAGAGCTGCTGCCTCTCAGTGAGCAGGTCACCCTAATTCAAATCTCAGTCTGGGGGACTTTCTGAGTGGAGTTTGCATGTTCTCTCTGTTCATGTGTGGGTTTTCTCCGGGTACACCGGTTTCTCCCCACAGACCAAAAACTTGCATGTTAGGCTGATTGGTAACTCTAAAAATGTCCCTAGGTGTGAGCGAGAGTGAATGGTTTTTTTTTTGTTTGTCTCGTTTGTTTCCATGTGTCCCTGTGACAGACTAGAGACCTGTCCAGGGTGTCCCCCGCCTCTCGCACAGTAATGGCTGGACATGGGCACCAGCGACCCCCGTGACCCAAAAAGATATTAGCGTTAGAGTTTAATATCAGACATCGGCCATTCCATTGAAATAACTCGCCGATATAAAACGCGCTGTTTTTGCCCGCAGCGGCAGCACAACGTGATGACGTCACGTGCACCTACCTGATCTCACGGCGGAGAGGAAAATTCAAAAATGTCGGCCATGTAGAAGTTGAATTTATTGGTGAGGATGTCAGTTTCCAAAGATTTATGGACTACATTGAGCCTCGCTATATCGTCCCCAGTTGGGGATTTTTTTCCGACGTAACGTTACCCGAGTTACAAGCCGTCATTTCCGACGTCATTGAGAAGCTAATAACCGATAGCATGACTTGTTGGGTGAGTTTTAGCACAGACATTTGGACGTCATGTCAGCCTTGTTAGCATGATTAGTCTTACGGCACAATGGACAGAGAAAAGCTTTGAACTTAAAAAGTCTGTCCTTCATGCACAGGAGTGCAGAGGATTCCACACTGCAGCTAGAAACCTGGAACAAGCCTCCACAAGTGAGACAACATCGCAGGTGACTAATGCTAATAAATAACATTTAACTCTTTTCATTTCATATAAGTCAAAGTGCTATGCATATCATATGGCTGCTACTAGCCACCAGCAGCTCTTACAGCTGTTGCACAATTTTTGTAGCAAATAAGCCTAAATAAGAGGGCTATGTTCTGACAAAGGAACGCATATAAAAATATAGGTATCGGCATCGGTTATTGGCCAAATAAGTTTAAACATATCAGCATCGAATATCGGCCAAAAATCCAATATCGTGCATCCCTAAATATTCCATTTAAAATATGTCACAATGGCAGCTCTACGAGTTGCGCCACCGTGAACAGCACGGTGGCGCAACTCGTAGAGCTGCTGCCTGCGAGCGAGCAGGTCCCTGGTTCAAATCCCAGTTCAGGGGCCTTTCTGGGTGGAGTTTGTATGTTCTCTCCGTGCATGCGTGGGTTTTCTCTGGGTGCTCCGGTTTCCTCCCACAGACCAAAAATATGCATGTTAGTCTGATTGGTAACTCTAAATTGTCCCTAGGCGTGAGTGAGAGACTGAATGGTGGTTAGTCTCGTTTGTCTCTGTGTCCCTGTGATGGACTTGCGACCTGTCCAGGGTGTACCCCGCCCCTCGCACAGTGATTGCTGGACATGGGCAGCGGTGACTACTGTGACCCAAGATGGATGGATGGATGGATGGTAAAAGATAATGGATGGATATATCACAATATACAATTAATAGGATTGGAATGTTAAGAAATTTGGGAGCTATTTAGGAGAAGGAAAAAAGGTTTATTTGTTTTATTTTCTGCTGGAACCGACTGAGAAGAATACCGGCTCAAGCTTTGATAATATTTTGCAGCTCTGATAATGTCTCCAAGACGGACACGAGAAGCCCCAACATAAAACAAACAAACTTTCATAAAATAATTAAAGCAAAAAGACTGATGCAGCATCTGAACTGAACTGAAAATTCAAATGACCATAGGAATACATGAGATGCAAACTTTCAGGCATGGAGAGCAAAAATGCAGAACTAATGAGTAACAGGCTGAATAAGTAGAGTAGAGGCAAGTGGAAAATGGAAACACCTGGGCTGATTGCTGATTAGGGACAGGTGAGGGTGGCAGACTAACTTGAAAAACCAGCAAGGACACTAACTGAGGGTAAATGAGGAATGGGTCATGCGAGACTGGGAAACTAAATAAGACCGATACTACAATAAGTACAAAAATACAAAGGAAAAAAGATCTAAACTGGCAGGAAAACACAATAGAATCAAAAGCACAGAAAAATAAAACATAAACCAGGACGGGAATAAGACTAAAAGATCAACTCAAGGAACTAAAATACAGAAAAACAGACTATGACAACAAATTCACTAAATATCTTATTGGAATCAAAAGTTCTGCACTGAACAGCTTTAAATCATATTTACCTGATAAATGAATTCAAGTTTATTCCATATAAATAAAGTTATCCTCAGAATTAGTCTTCATTGATTGAAACTACTTTTCTAAGAGCTCAATTTATTTTAATGAACTAAACTTTTGCTCATTAAAAATAAAATTTGTAGAGCAAAATAAATAATCAGTGTTGCTAAAATAAGTGTTTCATCGTTGCCTTCAAAACATTTGGAGACAACCCATCATTTGTTTGTTTATTATTCTAAATAATTGCTTTTAGGAGAAACCAAGAAAGACAAACTTCACATTAATAAAAAAAAAAAAAAAAGAAGAAGAATCATCTCTCATACCTCTCTCAACATAATGTCTCTTAAGGCTGTTTATGTACCAATCAATAATGCACACAGATGTAAATTACCACTGGTCGTAGTCAGCATCACAGTTGCAGTAGAAACTGGAGTCCAGACAGTTGTCCTTCAGACCGCACGCACACTGCCGGCTGCCAGGCAGAGCTCCGCCCCAGTAATTCTGGATCTGACCTGCGCCTGGACCACCCACCCACCAGCTAAATGGAGCACCATCTTTAAAACACAAACACAACATAAATCACTTGATTTGCACCTGAGAAAATCTATACTGCAGACCAGATGAACAAACTACAGCAACAGCGTTCCACACCATCCATTCAAGGTAGAATTGTAATGTCCTATTTGTAAGTACAAAGGCAGAAAGTAGAGTGTGGGTTGAAGATAATGTGCCTCTGATACACCTCTTAACAATCAATAGAGTATTTCACACAGACTAATGTGTGTGTGAGAGAAACAGCCCTGTGTGTTGGGACACACTGCTTTGACCAAAGATGCTGTCGTCACTCAGCTGATTCAACAATAGCTGTTAACATTTAGTGAACTCTCACTGAAGTGGTGTTGAGCACAATCAAATAGGAGGAAAAGGCAACTTTAAAAAGGTTTTTTATTTATTTATTATTGCACCAACGCAAAGTGACTGTTGTGTGAAAAGAGCTAATGAGTCCTGTGAACACAGAGAAATTATCTTTGAAAGGTGTCGAACATTCAACTGGTACTCCATCCATCTTTTCATTTCATTTAGCAGCTAATTTAAATGGGTCTTTTAATTGAAATTGCTTTCTTCATTTGAGTGTATAATTGTAAATTTTCTCATCCCCAGCTTCCATTCTGATTGTTCCATTTGAAAATCTAACACACGAATCTTTAGAATCTAAAGTCTGACATCCTCCTGCTTTCTCGAACTGAAGAAATACAAACACGTCCTCTCTAAATAAACTAAACGGATAATAAAAAACTATATTCCTGTCTTACTCCTTCAGCATCTTAATATGAAATACCTGTGAGGTGGAAGGATTATCTCAGCAAAGGAAAAGTTATTATATATATATAT